GCTGTTCTACTGTTTCGAACTCCCTGGACTTCATCCGTTGGAATTCCGTTTCTTCATGTTTTGTGATTTTGGCCTTCCCTGTCAAATGCGTTTCTCAATCCCAGTCTTGTGAGTGTGCCCATTCCTTGTTCCATTAGAAGGCTATTCTGTGCTGAATCATTGCTCTTAACACCGCGCGAATGCGTCTTGTCCTGCTGGTTTTGCAGCAGAACAGGGTAGTTTTGTTTTGAGATTATTTTCCGTATTCTTATGTTCACTAGATTATATCTATGTGCCAGTTTCGAGAAATGGGGATCAGGAAAAGGAGTTACGAGGTGGAAAAGTGACCCACGCCAATGAATATTCCTGTTATGCCAGTTTCAAAGACATGGAAGCGCTACCAACAAGTTCATCTGGATGAGGGATCAGGGAGGCGTTGGAGAGTGTGTAACAGAATTGTGAGGATAGGGATTGATCGATTTTTTTCGAGATTGCTCTCTTGTCTTTTTGATTTTCTTCCAAAGTTTCTTCGTCTGCTTTATTGCGGAAAAGTTGACTAGATTATCCGGTGACTTGGCCTGGTTATTCCTATGGAGGAATGCATCAGTGTTGCTGTGAGAAAAGCCTGTTCCTTTCGATCAAGTTTTCCAGAATTTCTTGAGAATGGGCAGTTGATTTGGATGAAGTTGTTGTCATTCGTGATATCGGAGAGTTGCGTGGTTTTTGTTTTCATGTATGAGCACAATGTGTGATCGACCCACATTGTAATTAATCAAAGGGGCATAGGCGTTTACGTACTGCTGAAGATTTCTTGATCACGTTCCGCCTAAACATGATTCATTGGGTATAATAACCCCTCAATCGCTAGTTATGTTTCACTTTTATTCGCTAAAAAATATCTTCTTCTCCTGCTACCTCTGGACGCAACAACTGGTGATCAGGATCAAGGACTCATGGATCTCCCGCATGTAGAGACGGATGGAACACTAGTAGAAGATGCTAGTGCTCATGCAGAAGCAGCAGAAGGAAACTTCCGACTCCTTCCTACACGCCTGGAAAAGATCGAGAATGCGCCATGAATGAAGCGACTTCCGGCAAGCGCAAGACGCATCTGCGGACTCCCTCTGCCGTCGCATCGACAAATTCATTTCGGTGCGGAAAACGGAAGAACATTCGATATTTGGTACAAACGCTTCAAGGACTACGTTGACAACGACTGCACGGAGCTGAGTGAGCAAGAAAAGACTGGACTACTGGTCAGCCGCTATACAAGCTGATCACCAACTTCTGCCGGTCAATGCGCCGAGCGCGTCAGCTGTCATGCGATGAAGCCGTTGCTCTACGGATCGCTCATTCGCGTTTAACGAAGACGTTTTCGCCGTACGCATTCGAATGTACTTGCAAAATCAAGAGACCAACAGCCTTCAAACTGCCGAACTCGCTTGTGCGCACACGATTTTCTGAGCAAGCTTGCACTTCATCAACACTTCGATCCAATCATGCCGCGTCTTACGTTCGAATTCCAGCAAGCGAATTCGCAGAACACGAACACGCTGCTGAAGAAGTATAGGACCTAGGAGATCATCACGATCAAGGACCTCACCGCCGAGTGTCAACTCAGTAAGTCGTTCAAGGAAGATGCGAAAATGTTGGAAAACGCAACAAACCCCAGCATTTCGGTCAACTACGTCGACAGGAGGAAGAAAAGAAGAATATTTCAAGCAGAAGCAAGTTTCAAGGAATAGAGAAGAATCCCAATGCGCTTCATAATAACTCAAGATCTGGAAACCAGGAATCAATGACACCGTCGCGCCCACAGACCAGACGTAACGTTGCAACGTACCAGATCGAGAGCATAGACGACGCTCTACGCAAAGACGCCAACCGTCACTGAATCTTATACTCGATTTTTTTTAACTGGAGCGCAATGATCACACGATCTCAAATTCAATTGGAAGAAACTAGGAAGGCCGCAGCTACAGAAGTTCAACACGATCGTCAATGCCGCTAATGGAACAAGAATTCCCACAAAAGGATACATCATGGTCGACTTCGTGTTGAGGAGCTCAGATGGAAGGCAGCACCGTGGACGGGACGCTGCTACGTCACCGAGAACCTCATCATTTTTCGGCTGGGAATAGATCCAGAAAATTCTGAACTAGTGGAACCACTGCAAAAATACATCAGTGGATTGACTATCGTCGCTGATCCTGCTGCTCCGTGCCGAGAAGAGAGAGATTGTCGCCAAACTGAGGTCAATCATGCCGACGTGTTCAACACAGGACTCGGACGATGCACAGACCAAGGCGACACTCACCCGATGCTCATCCTGTCTTCAAGAAGAAGCGCCCCGTGCCATATGCCTACGTCGCCGTTCTCGATAAGAAATCGACAGCCGCTTGCTAGCGAACAACTGCTCGACCGCGTCGACTACTACTGACTGGGCAGCCCCAATCGTCGTCGTCCGCCAGAAATCAAATGGAACACTACGACTCTGTGCAGGTTTTTCTACTGGACTGAACGACGCGCTCATGCTACATCAACATCCTGCCAACTCCGGACGACGTTTTTACGAAACTGAACGGTGGCACAGCATTCACGCAAATCGACTTCGCCGACGCTTATCTTCAAATCGAAGTCGATGACGAGGCGAAAGAGCTGTTAAACCATTTAATATGCATAGAGGACTACTCCGCTACAATCGCCTCCCTTTTGGCGTCAAATCTGCGCCAGGCATCTTCCAACAAATCATTGATTCCATGATTTGTGGACTCGAAGCTTGCGACTAGCTTATCTCGATGACGTTCTTCGTCACAGGTCGCAATAATCTAGAGGAGCACTCGCCAACCAATCTAAGCTTTGTTCAAGAAGGATATCCGATACGGCTCCGCGTTCGTGATCGACAAGGCTAAATTTTCATGCCTGCAACGCGATACTTGGAAAGATTATGGACTCACGGACGCGACCCGATCGCCAAGATCGAAGTAATTCGCAAGATGCCACACCCCACGGACATCAGCCAGGTACGATCGTTCCTGGGGATGCTAAGTTACTACGGACACTTCATCAGCGAGATGCGACAACTACGTGCACCGTTGGACGATCTGCTGAAGAAGAACATTCCGTTCAATTGGTCTGCCGAGTGTCAAGACGCCTTCCAACGCGCCAAGGATGTGCTAGCCTCGGACCTACTGCTCACTCCACTACGATCCCACAAAGGAGATCGGATCGCGCCGACCATTCGCAGTACGGATAGGAGCAGTGATTAGTCACCGCTCTTTCGGATGAACGGAAAAAGCAATTCATCATGCCTGCCGTTCACTGACAGCTGCCGAGAAGAATTACGGTCAAGTCGAGAAGGAGGCTCTCGCCATAACGTTCGCCTTACGGAAATTCCACCGTTACATATACGGACGTCATTTCAAGCTGTTAACTGATCACAAACCACTTCTACGCTATCTTTGGTGGCAATGAAAGGCAGTTACCAGTCGACACATTTTAGAAAAGCGGACCCTATCTCGCCTTATCGGGAACATAGCACAGAAGAGGATGTAGTTATTGCAGCGATCGAGAAGGACGCTTCCGAGATGTTTGTCAATGCTGCGTCGAAGCTGCCGGTTGATGTCAAAAAGATTTCAGAAGAAACCTCTAAAGACCCGATCCTGAACGGATGTTCTGGAATTTGTACAAAGCGGAGAATGGCCAACGAAATCAATCGCGCCAAAGACTGAAAACTCCCTGAGAGAAATCACTCTCGCACACAGCACGGAGCCTACTAATCGCAGATCGCATCGTTTATGGACACTTCCGAGGATTTGAAGAAATCATTTCATGTCAACTGCCGATAAACCCCTTTTCTTCTCGTATGTTAGATCTTGGCATTGGAAGGCGTTGATTCGTTCCGAACTGAGAAGACAAAATATCTGGCGGACACTTTTTACCTTACCGAACTGCCTCAGAATAGCTTCTTTTCTTACATCCGAGACAGGATTCACCAATGAGTTCTGGTGGAGTAGGATGTTGGAACTGCTGAATGAATGAAAATGAAAATTTATTTTATATTTTTTATACGAAGACTATCTTTTGGGATAACCGCATTCCTGACAAATGGTGAAACTCATGAGATTCCTTGATGAAGCTGAAGCACATCAAGTCCACGAAAGAAAACGCCGTCAATAGATTGAACGCGTAGCAAGTTGCTTATGCGGGAGCTCATATTGTTCTTATAGTGACCCACGCTTATCCTAACAATACTCTACACCTTATATCTCTCTAAGCTCTCGCGTGGGTGTTCTTCTCACTCAAAAGTGGAATCGACGGCTTTCTTTTGAAAAGGGGGGAACTACGATGTCGAAACGTAAGGACACTGAAATTTTTGCATCAACCAACTCCGTTAGCCACACGAAAACCAACAAACGTATGTCTAGCATGCCGAGTTTGCAGGAAGAGAAGATTTGGAGCATGTCCACTCTTTCTATCAGGTTGTCGGAAAAGTCTTTGCCCATTTTCATCTTCATGGTTGGCGAAATCTATGGGGATTGTTTTGGAGCCTTTATTGCGAAATGTAGGTAAGGGCTGGTCAATGCGCTCTTCACACCATATTTGACGCATCATTTCGCAACGGTTATGGCTGAAAAAATTGCTCTCGACTCAAAGCAAGTTCGTCTGCTCCTACTTTACGAGTTCAGGAGGAACGCCAATGCATGCACATGACAAGAAGCATATGTGTCGTCCTCTCCTACTGTTTCTTTTACAACAGACGGCAAAGAATTGGCTTCCACAAAAATTCGAAAGTGGCGACATCGACTTGAGCGAAAAACCACGATCGCAGATCGTTAGAGTGGATAATAGCGTCTCCTGAAACTCATTGAAGAGGACCTAAGGCGCGGTACCCGAGAACTGGCAGAAGAGCTCCAGAGTCATCATGATACAGTGGCTGCTCATTTGCATCTTGCTAGGAAAAAGTTGGAAATACGGCATGTGGATACCTCATGAGCTGAATGGCTACCAGCTCCAAATGAAGGAGATGCATGCCTAAACTTCTTGACGTTCCGGAGAACTTAGGCATGGCTCGGAGATCCGATCACCGGCGACGAGAAGTGGGTTCTCTACATGAACTACACGCGGAAGCGTCAGTGGCTTGGACGCGGTGAACGTGGATTCCGACCCCAAACCAAAATCTCATGCTCAGAAGGCAATGCTCAGTGTTTGGTGGAACAGCAGTGGAGTCGTTCACTGGGAGTTGCTACCACCGAACACTACTGTCACCGCCGAAGTCTACTGTGCACAATTGGATCGTGTCGCTGCAGTCCTACGTGAGGAAACAGAATAAATTCTACATTTTGCACGACAAGCGCTCGCCCACATATTGCAAGGGACCAAAAAACTTCAGACTTGGACTGGCACGTTCTGGCCACCCGTACGCAACAGAGCTAGCTCCAACACGTACCACTTATTCCTGTCGCTCGGAATCATTTGAAAAGACAGAGTTGCTTTGAAGTGGAGATCATCGAGAGGTACATCAGAGAGTTCTCGCGTCAAAAACGCGGCGATTCTATGCAGCGGCTCCATTAGTTGCTTGACAAAGGTAATGCTGTAGATAATGAGGTCAAATTAGGTTAGTTATTTAGTGTTAGAAAATAAATGAATTCGAAAAAAAAATGCAAAATGGCCAGAGACTCCCCCGACAATCTAATATATTGAAGAATTTAGGATGATGGTGCTGGATATTCCGCGACGTCCCGCTTTTTCTCCATTTCCATTGGTCGTGTTCAATTACTGTAGAATGTAGGCGCAAACGTAAATATCTTATGTTGGCAGCATCAAACCATGAAACATGGCGTAAAAAGAACCTTTCATGAGTGATAAATGCTAATCACACAGGTTTCTACTAGATCATGGTGGGCGAAAACAACCTTCAGGACGCTCTTAAGGAAGTTGTTACAGCCCAGCAGGCTAGTTGTAGAAAAAAGCGATGAGCGCCACACTCGGTTCCGAACTAAGATTGACAGAAGCAGCCGGTTTGTTCCTATTATCGAAGTCGTTTGTCTGATGGAAAATTGATTTGCCACAGATGTCAGCAAACACTATGAAAAAGGCCATTCAATAGAATGCACTGCTTCATTCTAGTTTTCACCACCGCTTATGCTGGGTTGTCGGCTCACGAATCGCTCTAAACTGTTTCGTTTGAAGTTTATCATCTATCTAGAAGATTCCGGCGGCATCATAATTGTCCCAGAACTTGCAACCTAATGATTTGATCCTCCTCTTGCTTTGTGCTCCGCCCTGTCCCGTGGAGGTGAGAGCAATTTTCATAATCTTTCTACCTAAACAGGAAGGTTGTGCTCCGCTTTTAAAAAATGGGGTTGGAGAGGCTCAAGCCCACACCTTTTTAACATAAATTTTTGGCAGATCTCCACATAAGTTTACTGGGTGTCTTATATGTAGTATCGGTATCGTACTGGCGCAGATACCATTTTTTGCGAAACCGCGCAAGCGTCAACCAACAATGGGGAAAGCTTAATTTGTCGTTCAGAAGGCTACTCAACTCAGAAAAAACGAAGCATACTCCTATGCTCCATGCTCGTGCACACACTGCAAATTACCATTTTAAAAAGGCTGGGCACAGCGACATAAGGACCGTCCTAGCTAGAAGCATCTTATTCTTTCAGCTGAATCCTCACGCGATTTCGTCCCTGCCGCTTGCACTCAACTTCCGAATCTACCCGAATGCAAGGTATGATTATCACTCTATGTTCTGGGACTTCTAGAATATTTTGTTCACTCTTTTCTGGCTTCGTTCGTTTTCCAAGATTTTTACGTCTTTTGGAATGCGACATTTTATTTTTTACTCCATTGTTGTGTACCAAGCAGTAATTTGAAGTGTTTTTCTGTTCGGCTGTTGCTCTGTGTCTCCACTGGTTGTGGACATAAAGTAGCAGCAGGGATTTGAAGACACATTCTATCATTGTAAACCGTTGGTCATGAAGCTTAAAAATTATCTGAAGTGCTAAGGTTCATTTAAGGAAGGTGCTAACTGGACCATTTTATTTTTTATCCTGGTTTTTTTATTTTTCAAAAACACTTATTATACCTTCATGACCTTTATTTACCTTTGCATAACCTTTCCTATACCTTCTACTGTACCTTTGTGATGGTACTGTAACCATTATGTTACACGTGTTCAACAAATGCAAGTTACTTCTCGTTTGAAGAGTTCACATGAGGATTCTCATATAATAAATATGTAATATACGACGGTGGACCCTTCCCAAAGAACAAGCAGTGGTGGTTGGTTTGACTGAAACGTTAGGGGTTGGCAGTCATTAAAATTGAAATCCTACAGAAAGTGAGGGCGAACGTGACATCGGTTAGAAGTAACGGTTGTGGCTAGAAGGTTGGAACTAATTAACAGCAATGAATGTACTATTACTTGAGTTCAGACCAGTCGGAACCAATTTTCCAAGTCTCGAGAAAGATCGTGTTAGGCTGGCCTGGGCAATTGTAACACCGAGCCCTCCAAGTGATACTAGCGCCAACTACGACAACTCATCACCCCACCTGCACTACTAAATGTTATTTTTTGACTTGTTTTGGTTGGTTAACTGCTGTTTTTGGCCCCTGTTCGCCTAAAGGAAGGGCCCTGATGGAAGTCGTAATAATACTAATACTAAATGTAATTTTTGACTTGTTTTTGTTGGTTAACTGCTGTTTTTGGCCCCTGTTCGCCTAAAAGAAGGGCCCTGATGGAAGTCGTATGGGCACCAGTCGTGGAAGAGGGTTGCCATGCGACTTCCAGCCGGTCCTCACATCTTTTACCCAACTTCTAACGATGTTTGACCCTGGTACCCGTTATTCTGACAAAGATAGGTCATTTTGCCGGCCATTGAAAATAATATGTAGACCTCAATACGTGCCTCGAAGCGCTGGTTTAAAATCTGCTTGTATGATCGAGGGAACGATTTCCTGAATTTATGAAGCAGAAAAGTGCACGGTAGGACCCTGACTTAGGCAAGAGGCCGTGGGATCGACGTTTTTAGGACTATGCTAGAAGTCTTTCTAACTGCGTTTCTGAAGAGAAGAAAAAAACAGAATCGCATTTGAGTTGACCTCACAATCTCTTGCTTGGGAGCCAGTCACTACCGCTGCGCTTTCCTGCTCTAACATTTCTTGCAGAACATTCCACAGATAACCAAAGTAGGTTTTCATTAAAGGCATAACCTAGGCAAAGGTCGCGTGTACGCTTCCCTTCCCTCTCATCTGTAGCCATTTCTCGCCTCATACTCTCCTCTCCGCGCTTAGTCTCTCATTCCCTTAGCACAGCCGATTAGGAAGGTGAGTGAGCCCTTAACCTGAGCGTTTTCGACGGATTCTTTTCCTTTTTTCTTTACTGCCGGCCCATTTCGCACCAATACATTCGCATTCGTGTGCAAGAGCCACACCAATGTGATCCTGGGGCATGCCTTTAAGAAAAAGTTCTGAAATCCACTGATCGCCAACATTCCACAATATAGTGACTCTGACTTTCATCTTGTATCGCTATGAGGTATAGTCACGTCCGACTGCTGGATCGGAATAGCTACGTGCCCACCACAAGGTGGAATGATAGCCAGTTTCACAGTTTTTTTTTCCTAGAATGAAAAACGGCTGAACGCCGCTGCACCTTGCGTTTCTTCTCATTAACATTCGAGTTCTAGGTTGCTAAATGGAACGCGCAACGGAACATTCTCTTGAATCGCTTGGAAACACGACGCAGACAAGCAGAAAGAACTGTTGAACGCCGAGGTTCCTCATTAGTCCTTTCAGGTTTTGTACAATTCCCAGCACTGATAAAGCTGTTTTGCAGTTTTTGACGAACCTCTTACTGATCGACAAAGTAAAAAGCTAGCTGAATTTATGGCAATGCTTGGAAGGTAAATTTTGTTCCATCGTCTTGCTCTCATGAAATTGAATACGAGAAAGAGCATTGACAGAATTTGCACAGGCTGGTTTATATGCGTAGTTACGTTACCTAAGTAAGAGTATTCCGCCGTCCAAAAATCGTTCCAAAAAACACATGTGAAGTATTTCTCACAATGTGTTACTGTTCACCATGTCCTCAGTTCCTCCAAGCGTTCCCCGTCACCCTCTCCCCCTTCGTCATACGCATGCCGATCAGTTCAGCAAAGGCTTTGAAGTGTTGCCCTGGGATGTTTGAGGGCTGTGATCCACTGCAGAGTCCACACATGCAATAGCGTCGATCGAAGGGCACCTGTACTCCCTCTCTCATTCAGTTGCGCCTATGTGCTAATGTGAGTTACGGTAAACCGTCCTGACTTTTTAAATGGCAAGATTCAGGATAATTTCATGGGGTAATTCCATTCAAATGTGAAAGTAGGGTGGAAGGTGGACCGCCAGCGGAGAAAAAAGGAAAAAAATCGTTAAATACAGAGGAAATACAAGCTTTTTGCTCTACGTTGCGGAAAACTTCAAAAGGTCGGAAGGCCGGACAAAATAGCGAGCGATGGGTGGGGCGTGTCCCAACTGGGAGCGTGCCAAAGTCCTTGGCGCCTAATGTCTTAGTGGGGGGGTGAATGCCGTTCTGCCTATGCCCCCCGGAACCGTGCGCGTCGTCGCCAGGTTTGCCTCTCACAGTCACATACTAACGCTCTTAAGGGCTTATTAAATTACGAATACACGATTAGAATGAAGGGCGAAGAAGGGGTAATTCACCTAGTTGAGAGACCTGCGGATCTCCTGAGGATGCGGATGAAGCGCAATTGGCACCGATTTAGATGACCTCGGCGACCTATTAAGGCTCAATTTCTTGGCGCGATTGGCCAGTTGAATCGGTGCCCACCAAACTCAGCTTCGTTTTTAAGTGGTCCTGAGCCCGAACTTTGCCTTTAGTGTGCGCACTTGCTAAATAAGTCTTGTTTTTGATTCTATAGAGTTTAACACATTCACCTCGACGCCGATGGTCTAGCCCATATCACAGCTGCCAACTTGTAACGCTTAGCTATGAGCGCAGAAAAGGACAAGATACGGTGGGCAACATCCGTAATCGAGTGTAGAAAGCTTTCTCAATTCCGCCTTCACAGATACGAAGGGAAGAGAAGAAAAGTTATACGAATGAAAGTGAATAAATGCTCTCTTTTCGTAACCACTATTTGTCGTTCTGATCGAAATCCTACTGTTATATGTTTAGATAATCTTTACGCATTGGACATTGCAGAAATTATTTTGTGACATTCATGTTTTTGTTCATTTACAAAACAAAATCTGCGGTTATGTGGTGAGGCGGCGGCGCCCACAAAATCGCGTCCGTCCCACGCGACCGAAAAGTGGAAAAGGGGCGTCGTCGTGAATGTGTTAAGGAAGGCTGCACCGGTGCGAGTCTCACCTGTCCAGAAGTTACGCGCAAAGAGGTCCCACTCTCGGGTTCTGAGCCATTGTTCATAGTTTTTTCTTTACTTACTTCACTAATGACTACCTCTACCTTGACTTCGAAGGAGCTTTTCAACGTAAACTACGGTTTTAACTGGATTTTGAATATCGAAGAAGTCCATATTACCACAATTTCAAAGGCAATTTTGCCACTTTAAATATATTAAAAATAATGCCTATCCCAAGTGGAAAATGAGGGGTCTTACTTTTCCAGATTACGGAGGAGCGGGAACAAAACCGAGCCGGCTGGCGAATTTGTAACAAAGACGCACTCTGATGCCGATTTGAGAGAGAAGGAAACTGGTAACGGTAGCGAGAACAATGTTGAAGAGGGTGTGAGTGGAGTCTCACCGTTTTGTCCATGCTGTATGAGCTGTTGCAAAATATTATAGCATTTAGTTTATTCCTGAAAAGGGCGAAGGAATACATCGTAAACTCAAGGTCAAGGAGACAGAATCTGAAGGTACTGTCACCGAATTTGAACATTTCAATATCCTTATGTTGCGACGACTTCGAAATCTTAGCAGCCCGCCTTTAAGGAACCCCCTCTCACTCCACAGGACCACCTCAGAGGACTGATGGTGTCTATGGACTCCCTGGATCTGGAATACTCGAAGTACTTCCCAATTTGCTCTCGAAAGTCCTCCAAAATTGGAATAAACGTCGAGCAAGGAAGCGATATATACAGGGTGGGCCAAAATTATGAGGACCGCGTGCGCGCGCGGTCATATCCACTTTTTTCCGAGTCGCTCCATTTTCATCTCCTTTTCTGTGCACTATGTGAAAGGGTACAATGTCTTCTTCCTAATGAAACCAAATTTCATGCAGTTCTCAAAACTAGTGAAAATAACTACATTCACCTTACGTCAGTCCTCAAATTGAACTCACTAGGGGCTCTGGCACGTTACATCTAGCGGCAGTCTAACGTATCAGGGAAGCTCTTATGAGCAACAGTTCAACTCTTCAATAAGTTTGGAACCACCACAGATGGAAAATTCGGAGACTCGAAAGTTACAGTTACCACCAGGATAATTATCAGATGCAGAAACTAGGTCTCCCCTTGTCGACTTTCGTACTCCCAAAATGAAAAAATTGATGTGAAAACCCAGCCAGACACTCTAAAGACTCCACATCTGTAGTGGATAGAAAGCCACTTGAGTAGTCTACTTGGGACTTTTTACAGGACCGAGCACCCAAGAATAAAGCAAAAATCCTCTAAAAAGCGATTTTTCGAGTTCGTTGCTTTCGAAGAATTGTTACAATGGAACCTCCACCTAATAGCTCTAGATTTCTGTATTTTACACCCTGGATGCAAGCGCAAATAAATGCCTCACAAAGCTTTGATCCCCTGAAGAAAGCAGAAAGCCATCACCTTCACCTGCAGGCTTGTGTAAACGTGGCAGGTGGCAGATCTCAATTCTATTCTGGAATTACTTTGAGGTAAGAGTTACAAACACTTCCCTGAAGTTTGTTTGTTCCATCAAGCTACTATGCGTTTTTAACGACACAATGTCTTGGTCCTCATAATTTTGGACCACCCTGTACAGCTTGTGATAGTAAGTTCTGCGCACCCTCGCCCATTTCAGCATACTTTTTTCACCTCCACGACCCCCTATATAGACCTACATAGACGCAAATAAGACCCCCCCTGAAAATTACGGTGACCCCGCTCGCTGGAAAAACGGTGCGGTTGATACTGCCATCGACTGCTCCTCAGCATGTCATTTCTGTGATGCCACCAATTCTATCTCCCATCTGAGATGAGAGTCTTGCAGCCGAGGAGGATACAGAGGACCGTTCAGTGCATCACGGATCAGTAGAGGAGTACTGCAACAAGTACGAGCAGCATTTTGACTTCTATTGTGTTGGCGAAACCAGCACCAATGACGAGAATGCGGAAGTGAGTAGTACAGAAGTTACGAAGTAATCGACAGATCTCATATGTACTATACCTGCAAATTTTTATCTCGCAAGAGTATTATATATTTTTAAGGTGATTTCAAGGTTCTGTCCAACCTACAAGGAAGCCTGTCCGAATAAGCCAATCACGTGAGTTTCTCTTTTTTCAAAAGGAAAAATAATCGTTGGGTTCAGCAATGCATTTCATTCTGCACCACGCATTTAACCTCCGTTTGAAAATTGCGGCGGAATTGAAATGTTTACTTGTACTGCAATATCTTACATGTGCCCAATCAATGACCGGTCTCATTGTATTTATCTCGAAAAGGTGATCTTGGATGTGAGCAGTTTTCATTTTCGCTAAAGCCCTTTCCACTCCCAGTCTAAGCTTAGTCCAAAGGGTCGAAAAAAATAGATTATTCGAATAAGCCAAAAAGAAAGGGATAAGCCTAGTCGGGCAAATACAAAAAAACGGACAGCGCCACAACAGTCACTATGTATCGTGCACCTATCGAGCCTGAAGACTGGCGCATCTCCCCTGACAACCCCCCCCCCCTCACACCTTAGCTTTGCATGTGAAAGGAAATATCGGAGCATAGTCTCGCCACTGATGAGCGTATCAAATGTGTTACCGCCGCTGCGATTAGAGCAAGAGCGCAGCCACCAACCGCACAAAACAGCAACTGCCACGATGAAGTTTACCCATTTATAGGCTGGCGCTGACTTTCCAAATTAACTCCAAGGAAGCGATAATCAAAAACATTTGTCCTTATCAATATTGAGAGAAGACCATATTTCTTCGGGGCGCGTCAATGGAGTTTTTTTTTCAGCAAAGCTGTTTCATATACCCTATGGCCGAGCGACCCATTTGCGAAGGTGATTACAGTGAAAAGACCCAGACCCGAAGAAGAAACAGAAGAGACTGAAGAGCTAACCAGTTCAGAGGAGGAAGAGGAAGAGGAAGAAGAACTGCGTGAAGCTATCTTAGAGGAAATCAAGGTGATTTTCAAAGGAAAATCTGCTAAAATTTCGCATGTTTTTGGAAAAGAAGAACCTAAGTGAAGTCATAGCCACGGCAAAAGATGCCCTGGACAAAACAGAGTGACGTCGACTGGCAAAGAGGGCGGACCCTGCTATTGTGCTGCATTAGTTAGAAGAAGAATGTGCATTATCCTCTACTCATCAACACATTCCGCGGTAGCTAAAAGCTAACTATCGGAACCAACCTTACTAATAAAGGTGCTAAGCAGCTCTTCGGTATGGGAAACAACGAATAAGAGCTCATAACTATGGGAATGATGAACTATTAGGTCGTGAAGAAAGTTCTTGCGCTTTTCGACCTTGATTTTCAAATGCCTGTATCTCGGCTCATTCGAAACCTTTTTGATTGGAGTAAAGACTGTTAGAATCCACAAACCTCTGCCAATAATAGCTGCGTTGAATCAGCCCGGTAGTGCAGAATACTGGAGCTCTAGAGACGATGAACCCGGCGGAGGTCGTTTCCGCATCATGTTGGTTTTTGAAGCATAACTCTTTGGAGAAGCTATCCAGGTAGTCGAGAAAGTGACAAATTATAGGCAAAAGGTCTACCGAGTAGGATGTTCGCAGGACTAATTCGTAGCCAATCTTGTCCAACTTCTGCAGGGTTGGTTGTGGAATGTGCGTCCGAGCTACCTGTCAGGGACGAGCCGGTTCCTTTATAATGAGGAATTTCGAGCATATGTGCCAGAGTTCTAGGAGTAGTTTGACACATTATCAGGAGTACTTTTTCCACATTAACAGATCCACCTGGTTACGAAAAGCTAGACCAGCCGCTGACCTTATGAAAGTCACCTCAACCTTCCTTCAGTGAAGTTTCACTTTTGCAAGTTTGTAGAGCCTGATCGCGGTCGATCACTTCACCAAAGGTTCGTATTCTGTAGCAAAGAATCCGTTCTTTGTCGTGCGTCGCAAATGATCAAAAAGTCAGGTCGTTTTCATGGCATGAAACAAGCTAGAACGCGGCGAACGACCCTTCAAAATGGTGAGCTGTCGCGGCACGCCCTATTTGAATTTTTGGGACTTTCCAGCTCTTCCCGTACAACAAGAAAACACAATGCAAGTGCGATTAGTTTAGGAGGAACCCTCTCAATAGATTTGTGCAAACGTGCTTCAACCAGAACGTTCGACTAATCGTTGGCGTTGTCCAATCTCCGATCACCACCCTCACAATCTTTAGGGCTCTCGCTATTCTTACAAAAGCTTTTTGAACAATTGCTTCAGACCATATTTATTGCGAATCTCAGCCAAGTGCGTCTATAATATCTTGACCTGCTTCCTCTCCATACTGGCCTGCTTTGAGCTAGAAAAAGGAAATCATGCAAATTTGCTCTTGGAGTATGCCGTATTCAAGGCTTCAAAAAATGACAACTAAATAATAAGGAACATAGCTAGCCTAGCTGTTAGATAGAACAAGAAAAGCTCTTCAAAACCACATACAGCTCATTGGCAGCTTGCTTGAATTCGTAACAAAATAAAGCGTTCAAAAACGAAACACCGAAAAGCGCAAGAACTTTCTTCACGACCTAATATTTTAACTGATGATTCTAGGACCCTACAGTGAAACTATAAGTCTGGATGAGTTCTTGTTTGTTAAATTTTTTGATTGTTTTTCTTAACCTTGGTCCGAATACTAGATTACGCTTCCATGCACATCACTGACTACATTTCGGAACGGGTTGACTTGCAGATCGACGATGTAGGTGGGAGCGGCACAGACTGATCATGTTGCAACCAGAGCAGGTGCGTGAATCACGAGGGCGATGGCCGTGATTCGTGGTGCAGTCCCTTTTTTTAGACTCAACTGATTCTAACAGCACGTGATACACCACCTTCCGTTCTTGCCTGATGAGGCTCAGGGAGTGTGCAATATCGGCGGGGTCTCGCCTATCAGAACACAGTCATCAGCGAAGAGGAGATGCGTTAAGCGAACGCCGTCGATGTTCACTCCTCCGGGCAACGAGATTCGCCTCATGATGTTCTCGAGCGCAATAGCGAACAAGTTCGGGGACGTAACCTCGCCTTGTCTGACGCCGCGCCGGATTTGAACACGGACCGGTGTTTTTATGAGTTTGATATCGGTATAACAGTCCGTGTTGCACTGCCGCGTGATTCTAATATAGGGCTCGGGGATACCGCACTCGCGCATGGCGTTGTATACACTCTCATGCTCCACTGTGTCGAAGGCCTTTTTGAAATCGATAAACAGAAGACACAGTGGGGTGCGGTACTCGCGGCAACGTTCCGTCAGCTGTGATATTACATGAATATGGTCAATAGTGGAGAAGCATGAACGGAACCCGGCTTGTTCTACACTCATGTATTCGTCGATGCAACGGTTGAGGACAAGGCGGAGAAGACCTTCAACACCTGGGACAGGAGACATATTGGGCGGAAGTTGTTAAGATCGTGCTGCGGTCCTTTCTTGTGAATGAGCAGCGTAGTAGAGCCCCTCCAAGCGCTCGGGATTACTCCTTCGCGCAATATGCGGTCGAACAACACGCGGAGAGGGTCCACTATCTCCTCAGCCAGCATGGAGAGACTCTCCACTCTCACACGATCTGGTCCCGGTGCCTTGCCCTTCTTCATCTGGCCAAGAGCAGCTAGCACTTCTGCTCGTAGGATCGGTGGAATACCTTCGTCTGATCCGTCACATCGTTTCTCGGTAGGCTCCACCTTTACCTGACTGCCAAGAGGTTGCTGTAAAATTGCAATTAGCTCGGCCATAGGCCCAATTGATGCTTGTCAGTTCTTTGGCTGCTTCGCATGCTCTGCGAGCGGCGTACACCTTGTAATCATGTTCAACCCGAGTTCATTATTAAGAACGGTTTTCTCGACGTGGTCCATGTTTGCGACTTTAGCTTTCCTTGTCCTCAACAGCTTTAACGTCTCGGTAGTCAGGTGACGCGCGTTGTGGCCTTTGTAACGACGCGGTCAACCTCGGCCAGCAGGTTTGCGTACTCGTCGTCAACGGTGGCGAATATTCTAGTGGGTTTGCACACCGTGGGGGCTAGCAGTCGGACGATGTCAGAATTGACCTTCGTCTTGATGTTAGACTGCGGGCTACCGAACTGTCATACATTGGACAAATATTCACTCTTCCTAGTACTCTACATTCTGCCTTGATTCTGACGGTGAATGCATACAAAAAAAAGGGTTCACAACCATTCCTTATCCAACATTTCTCGCCTCTAGCTAACAAGCCCCGCGTGCGGGCAATTGCAATTATGAGTCTGCAATTACAACTATATTGAATTTTGAGCAAAGCAAACCTTTCAGCGTCGCTTCCCTTGTACACCAGACTGCGATCAACGAATTCTCCCACATTGCACCCAGGAATGCAAGTGTGATTACTCCTATCCGGGTGTGCAAAGGTTTTGCAACCCTCCACCGCTCCCATTTCTTCTGAACGTTTGCAGGTGAACTGGTTTGATCATTCGAAATTTCTTTCCAGGATGAACACTTTAGAATAGAGACATAGAATCGTAATCCACCTTTCTTAACAGTGTTGTTGAGATCGTGCAAATTTTCTAAAAAACACTCGTATTTCATTCAGAATATGGTATTGGAGTTGTCCGAAATATGAGCAGTATCACTATGCTTCACAATACATCTATTCGAAAGCAGAAAAGGGAAAAGAATTCCGTAAGTTTCACAAATCGGAATCGAATCAAAAGGTACGTAGGAGTCGCCCGAGATGATGCACTCTTCCAGCGGGATTCCGAACGACCAATCCAAATCCGTACAACATTCCCAGCCCTCTTGGTCATCCACATATTGGACCTGGATCGCCTCGTCTCGGACCACATTTACCTCATATGGCTGGCATTCGAAATCGGTAGGAGAACAAATTTTAGGACAAATTGACACTTTTCACTAGCATTCACACTACTAGGGTAGTCTGGTAAACATAGTTACGATGATATCATAACTAATGATCACAGCGGCCTGTAGCGGGTACCAGACAGAAAAACCCGCCGGGTGGCTAGAAGGCAGAGACGCAGACGCCCAAGCGGACGAGTCGCAGCGCGTACTGTGCAGTGTGGGGCGTACTTCACAATACACTTCACCTTTTATTCCACTTGGTCGCTACAGCGCTATAACCCGTAAGCAGGCCAGTCTGCATCTCTGCCTCCTATCCGATACCCGCCTGTAGCACATGTTTTGCGTGCGAACTCGCTTTCACGGCACTGCGGCAATATGATTTTTTGGTAGACAACTGGCAGAGAGCAATTATCTTCACATGTTTCTACAAATTTTCTCTTTGATACCTAGGTTGTGTGCGAAGAACGCGAGATGGCAAACCCCACAATTCAAATGGTGCGACTATAAAGGCGGGCATAAATGTAGTTATGTAGAGAGGATTTTATGAGGTAAACCAAGTCAACAATTCGAGTTTCTAGGCTCTGTTTTTGTGTGGTTGATCGCTACGGAAGAAACACAAAGCGAAGAGAACGTTGTACGAGAAGGCGCAGACATCCAGCGTGCTAACTCCCTTGTCACACACTTTCATGCTGCAGTAACCTGGCACTTGCAGTTGTCGTGGACAGCTCTCTCCTAACCAATGGGATTGGTCCACCAGAAGTTATTTGCCCGAACTCATTTGCCTTCGAAAGAAGTAAGAATAATGCCCCTTAACAAAAATAACGCTGCTATCTCACTGAGGGAGTAACCGTCGACGCGCGGCATGTCAGCATTCTTTCAGCGGAAAATCATAAAGTTCCGAAACCAGCTTCTCACGAATATCAACTGACTCACCTCATCATCCTCCTGGAGTTGGTAGCAATCTCCCTGGCCCATGGACTCCTCTCTTCGCACTGAGGGCGCGAACAGGTCGCGCGACCCAGCGGCACCCCCTCCCACTACCCGCTAACAGTTACCCAAAAATCAAGAATTTGAAGCATGACCAATAATCATTTCATCATTTCAGACTTGTCAGTCGTCCGTTCACACATTCTTTAATAGTCCCTCCACCACTACCTCGAGTTCGAGACCAACCCTTGGAAAAAACGAGTCATGGCCACCACCATTCACACACGTAAGCCAATTTGAATCTGAATAAGTTAGCATAACGCTACTGATAGCTCGAGTGTTTTCACATAATCTGATAATCTTGCGACACGTTTCAGAAGAAAAAAGAAGGTGAGCCGCAGACGTGGAAAAGTAATGGGTTTGAAGAAATCGCGGCACTCCAGAAAACACCACCGATCCCGAAAGCGTCCTCACAAAAGAGCTACACGTCACAGTGACTCCAAACGATTCTACCGGACATTGAAGTAAGGCATTTCCTCAGCTTTAAACTGGTATTCAATGAATGGGAAGATCTTTCTCGGTGACCTCACTTTTCAAGAGAGAATCCTCTGGTCGCGAAAACTCCCGAGCCGACTGAATCATCGATGGGAAAGCCTATCGCATTTGCTAAGGACCATAGCTCGTCATTGTTGCGAGAAGTCTCCACAATACGTCCTCGGTAGGCCATTACCGCATTTCTGTGACATGACTTTCCTCTGTATCCAGCGACTCAAGCCGTTTGGACACTGTGAGCACCGAACTGAGCGTGCATTATGATGTTTCCGCTGTAGTCACGTACAATGCGCGACGCATTGACGCGCCTCCCTCTTCTCGTTTTCTCTGCGCCCTCTCAACGAGGAGAGGATAGGTCGAGCAAACTCGCCATCTAGCGCCGTTCATGTAGAAGGTGAAGGATGGCACGCGTGTCAGGTTGGCCTCGCGCAGGTTGGGACGGCACCCGGGATGACCTCCCTTGGCTTGCGCACGAAGCGCACAGCCCCGCGCGAGCAGCAAGGGAAACGCTGCGCTTGTCGATTTTCGAATTGGTTGATTTTTTTTGATTTCGTTTTTCTGACTTTATTTCCGCCCAGCAGACCCGGGGTAGCCTTATTGATCGCATAACCATACGACTGCTACCCAAAAAGCGCGTCAATGCGTCGCGCATTGTACGTGACTGCGGCAGGAACATCGTAATTTACGCTCAGTTCGGGTGCTCACTGTGTCCAAACGGCTTAAGCCGTATCCGTTGGCCAGGTGCGTGTTCACTGCACACTTCACAACACAAGTGACGTCACCCTTTATAAGAGTAAAGTCTTTCTGCTAACGAAATGATTAGCCGGCTACCGTTTCATCTGTCCGTTTACGCCCCCCCCCCCAAATTCAGCGATAGTCGAATAATAGGTTAATGGTAAAAATAGTAGTATTACACGGTTTCACCGTTGCGGAGACTAGGGTATATGAAGAATCGATTCTTTTATTTAACAACCACAAAAAAAACAGACAGACAAGATGTACAAAAAAAGGATTACTTCTGCCAAACTGGTGGCCGAGATACCAACAAAAGAAATGAGGATACCGATCAAAGTG